CTTAAAACATTGGAGAAATACAGGAAAATACCTTACGGGATGATAGCAGGGTAGAACTGTAAAATGTGGGAGAATCCCGGGAAAAATGGGAGGGTTGACAGGTATGCAATAGGCCTTTAAATCTTTACAATGTTATTTTTGTCATTGTTTTGGAGCACACTAGCTTATGGATTACTTTAAGCATAAACATGAATTCTGATTTCATGAGGACTTAAAGTATATATAAATATATGCATAAAATGTGTAGCATAAAAACTGTATGCTTAAAACTGGTTTCTTGTGTACCAAAACTCCTCATATGTGATCATACAAAACTCCAATATAAGCCCCAAGAGTAACTCCCACAACTACACAGTTTTATTTGCAATGTTTTGTTGAATCTTGCCAAAAATCTATATTTCCAGTGTGTATTTGTATTTCGTCATATTTTCTTCCAGTGTTTCTCATCTCTTCTCTGTTCTTCTCACTGCTCTCCTTCAGCCACATCACACTAACCGGATTTGGTTGTTTCCGACCCCCTGCACGTGTCTTAAGAGCTTTTTGACATGATTATATAAGAAACACAGCCCACCTCTTCCTGACGCTGCTATATTTAATGAATAAGACATCTAGAGGAGGAACACTTGCTGTGCTCATTCCTGAAGCGCAAATAAAAGCCTGCTTTCTTCTCCACGGGTCCTTTGCCTCATTTAAAGAGGAAGATGGGTCAGTTCTGCTCCAAAAGCCACTAAAGCTCTCCACTGTAATTTTTAGCTGTGTTGTGTTTGGGGACTCTGCGCTCTTTTTAGGGCTAATTAAGGTATTTTATATTATATTATGATATTAAATATATATGCATATCAATACACCCTTAATATATATATATATATATATATATATATATATATATATATATATATATATATATATATATATATATATATATATATATATATATATATATATATATATATATATATATATATATATATATATATATATATATATATATATATATATATATATATATATATATATATATATATATATGTATATATCTCTATATCTATCTACATATATATATATATAAATATATATATAT